TGTCTGAGCGACAAGGAGCAGACAGTGTTCAAGTTTCTGGCATACAGTGGTGCCATAGTAGCTGCTGTCCAAGGAATCGCATGGCGTTGCTGTGCTTCTTCTAAAACTTCGGACTTGATTTCTGGCTTGTAGTCTAAAATTTGTCTGAGCGACAATGAGCAGAAAGTGTTTCTGGCATACTGTGCTGCCATAGTAGCTGCGGCTCCAAGGAGTCGCATCGCGTTGCTGTGCTTCTGTTGAAACTTCGTGATTGCCTGTGGTCCAGATTTTGTCTGAGCGACAATAAGCAGGAAGTATTTTGGCGGACTGTGCTGCCATAGTAGCTGCGGTCCAAGGAGTCGCATCGCATTGCTGTGCTTCTGCTGAAACATCGGAATCGATATCTGGCCTGCATTCGAAGATTTGTCTGAGCGACAAGGAGCAGAAATTGTTTCTGGCATACAGTTGTGCCATAGTAGCTGCTATCCAAGGAGTCGCATGGCGTTGCTGTGCTTCTAATAAAACTACGGACTTGATAACGGCCTGTGTTCCAAGGTTTGTCTGACTGCCATGGTTCTCATCCCGAGTGGTTTTTGGGGCCTCCTCCCGAGTGCTCCGTGAACGCTGTCGGCCTTATCTGCTGCCGCCCTTTTCCGCCCCTTGCCCCTAACAATAGGATGGTATCCTAGTAAGGATGTCTGGAGGGAGTTACTTGATGTCGCGTGCGACCCAGGCTCCCTTTTCCCCCACATCCGTTTCAACCTCTATCTCACGCCCTCCATCCGAGGACTGCTTTACATCGCATTGATTGTGTCCTGTGCCAATCGCTTATGCTGGACTGCGCGCCCTCTCTTTTGCATGTCAAGGCAATTATATCGCAGCATGGTGCACTGAGAAGAGGCAATCCCAACGCAAGTTTTTTTCATGTTTTGGTTTTTGTTTATGCGCCAAGGAAGCTTCAGCCTGGTGATCTTAGGATCGTCATGGGATGGGTTTTCCAATCGTTTGAGGCAAAGCACCCAAAACGCACGCTCTCTTTCATCACGCTTGAAAAAGAAGACCTCTTCCATTTGATTGGGTGAAAGGCTCTATAATGACCTATGCGGCCTTTGATTGGAGAAGCCATAAAGATTGTGGCTGCTCGATCGACTGGAGAACTTGGAACTCAACCTACTTTTCACCCCGCAGGTCGTGTGCTAGCCCGCATGAGTTCGAGAACCACGTGGGCAAGGGGGAATAGGAAGAGCTGGAAGGAAAGTCTCTACACAGGGGCCGAGAAAGTCTCCGTCTGGAAGAAGAGCACGGGTCGAAGCGTGGAGTCGCGCCGGCGAAGCATCGGCTGCCGCTTGAAGAATCCTAGAAAAAAGGTCCAAATGCGCAGAGTGCAGGACATCCCGTAGGATGAGGGATAGGGTCCTCATGAGCGCGGTCGTGCTAGCAGAAAGGTCGAGAAGTCGGACGCGAGACAAGTCAGACCCAGAAAGTCCCCACCTTTGCTCCTAATTGCTCTAACGAATTGTGAACAAAAGGAATATGTGATATTTGCTCGAGAATCTTGAAAGAACGTCTGATTATCGTAGTTTTATATTCAGAATGTATATCAATTCGATAATCAATGCTTCTCAACGGCGCGTATCGACTGGCATGGGAAGACGATGTACGGTAGATGGTGAAGCAGAACTGTCCGCCAAGCGAATAAAGATCGAGTGCATGTGTGTCATTGCGCTGCCATCACTAATACCGTCTTCTTCCTCCAAATAGAAAGTAGCATGACGAACGTATCAAACGGACGGCGACGACCGAAGTGAGAGCCTCTTGCCACGTTCTGAACAAAGTTGTGGTCTAGAAATTTTGTATATGTTCCGGTTTGAGAACTTTCTGCATGTGACCATATCGAAAGATGGACATATCGGAGCACTAATGAGTGATGCCAGATGGAGCGAAGATAATCGATTGCTTTAATTGACCGTCCACAATCAGAGCAAACGCAGAGGCGGTTCAAATGGAGGGATATACGGTCTCGCATATGTGCACCTTTAATGTGCCCACATTTCAAGCGTGGTCATTATAGCTGGCGCAAATAGA